AGGAATATTAAAAAAAAAAAAAAAAAAAAAAAGAATTTGTTATTTGAGGATAATAGAAGTATTTTTTTGTTTTGTACTGGGGATCGGAGCTGAGGGCCTTGTGCTTGCAAGGCAGGCGGTGCCACTAAGCTAAATCCCCAGCCCTGACAAATTCTGATTGCACTTTCAAAGTGAAACGCTGACTGAGCATGGATGGTGTGCATGCCTGTAATCCCAGTAGTCGGGAGACAGAGGCAGGAAGATTGCCATGAGTTTGAGGCCAGCCTGGGCTACATAGTGAGTTCAAGGCCAGCCTGATCTACAGAGGGAGACCTTGTCTCAAAAAACCAAACCAGACAAAGTGAAACATTCACTAACATCCATAGACGTACTTAAGTTACCCCAAGGGAGCCAAATCCATTGGGACAATTAGGGGGATTTGGGCATAGGGGTAGGAAAGACACAACCCCCTTTAGCACAGCTCTGTAAGCTAAGGAATAATGTTACTTAAAATACAGACTGAGGCGGGAGGATCGCTGTGAGTTCAGGCCTGCCTGAGCTAATAGCAAGACCCTGTCTCAAAAAAACTGAAAAACAAACAAAAACAAAAAAAATACAGCCTGCAAATATGTACAGTCTACTCTGTTTCCAAAAAAACAGAAAGAACTGGTAAAAGACAGGGCTAGGTGCTGCACAGTGTGGTGATGCTCTAACTTCATAAAATTTAATTTCTGTAAATTGCCTACCTCTGATCTAGTAGCAAATGTCATTACACAGACCATGTCTACCCCATTACTTAGTGTCTCCTTTTTCCTTCATTGGCATTAGTTTTTCTTCTGCCTCTTAAAGGTAAACTGTCCTGGTTTCTGGGTGGGGTCCTTTTCTTTTCCCCCTCTCCTCTCTTCCTCAAATACACTGTTCCTCCAACTTCTAAACCTCGCTAAACACCTGTTTTCTGAGCCAACTCCAGACTGACATCCCCAACCAAATCTTGTTTCTGCTTGACTCTCTGATTGTCATCTCAAATCCAGTGTATTTGAACTAAATTCTTTGTCTTTTTCTCTCCAGTGAATCAGTTTTTCCTCCAAATTTCCTATCACTTTGGCTTTGCCTCTTCTGGCTATGTGAACTTGAGCTGGTTAGTTTCCTTACCCGTGCCTCAGTTTCCTCATCTTTAATTGGGGGGTGGTATTTAAGATAAGGACTCTCTATGTAGTTTAGGTTGGCCTTGAATTTACAGTGATCCTCCTGCCTCAGCTTCCCAAGTGCTAGGATTACAGTCCTGTGGCACCATGCCTGGCCATGTTCCTCATTTTGAGAGAGACAGAGAGGGACAGAGAGAGAGAGAGACAGAGACAGAAAGAAAAACTGTAATGATGTGAAGGAAAAGTGAAAATGGACATGATATAACAGCTTTGTAGGTATTCCAGACATAGTTTTGGATTCTGCCAGCAGCATCTGTGTGAGACTTCCAGATGGGTGTTGGGGTATAAGGGACCTTACTCGGTGCCTGGCAGAGAGTGGTTTTGAACCTTCATTCTGTGACTGCTCTTCTCCCCGCCTTCTGGCCAGTTCCATGTTTGTGTTATTCCTTTCCTTGCCAGGAATTGAATGCCTACTTGTTCCAGCTTGCTCTTTCCTTGAGCAAGAATAAGGTTCTGGTTTCTTCTAGTTTCCAACCAGATGAGGTTGGAGGGGTTTGTTCATTTCCATGGCTGTTTGTAAGCCGTCAGTGCCACACCACTGCAGACGGGGTTGGAAGAGGTTTCCTTGGTGGATTCTCACTGCTCCAGTGCACTGCTGTGCTCTCACAGCTTCCTGGCAACGTGGTGGTAAAGGCCCAGTGAAGCAGCTCACCTTCTTGGCCCAGTGAGCCTTATGTCCTTCAAGTGAAGTTCACCAGGTCCCCCAGGCAGAGTCCTGTTACGGAGCCAGGAGAGTACCCTGAGCACTTCCCCGAACCGTGCACAAAGCATCATATCCTCACAGATATAAGTGGAATCAGCCACTTCTAAAATAAAACGTTCATTCTCTGCAACGTACAAACAGAAATGTGTGCCGCAGTTTAGGAAAAGTGGAACAAAGAAAAGTGGAAAGATCAAACAGGCTCAGCACTTCCCTAAGGGGTCATAATAAAAATAGCCACCTTGCATGGGGTACTGAACTGGCAGGCACTGTGCTGAGCAGAAGCTGTCTCGTTCCATTCTCCCTGCTATCCCACGATAAAGACAATGGTGACATCTCCATTTTACAAATGGGAAAACAACCCAGCAGTTAGCTTGCGCACAGCTAGTCAGGGGCTAAACCAAGACTCCAATCTCAGTCTGTTTCCCTAAAAGCCTACGTTCTTCTCACCCACTAACCCAAAACAGGATCAAAATACCTTGAGAAACACATTTTTCTGTTGTGTGATTCAAGATCATCTTAAGCAGTGGTTTATACTATATAGTGAACATTGATCATTCCATTCCTTCAGGGTTTTTCAATGTTAACACTGTGTCTTATCCACATAGAGATATGAGTGTGTGTACATATGTGTACTCCTCTGCCCTTCTGATAAGCATGTCTCGTCTTCCTAAGTAAGTCTTAAGTGAGAGATGTTGTGTACAGAAAGATCAGAGAGTGACTTACACAGGTCCTCCTGGTGGTTTTACTTTGGCGGAGTTCCTGCATTCCGAAATACATTTGTCAGACACCCAGAGTTCACCTGACTTGAGAAGATAAACCCACATTCAACTCAAAATTGAGTGATATAATTATTTTTACCAGCACTGGGGATCAAACTCAGGATCTCATGCTTGCAAGGTAGGCACAGTGCCACTGAGATAAATCCCCATCCCAAGACACTCATATTTTCTAATTCAGAAGTGATTAAATAATTCCCCAGCTGACTTAAACCTTGTGTTCACCAGCATTTCATGATGTAAGGGTCCTGGCTGGAGCTGAGTATCTGTAAAGTGCAACGGAGGGTTATTTAAATATGTATTGCTTAGTCTATTTGGGGCTAGACATGACACCTCAGAACAAGGGACAGCTACTTAGAAAGCAGTACTGACATCTTTCAGATGAGGTGTTGGTCACCAGTGGATGGAGCTGAAAGACATTACCAAATTCTTACCATTCGTCTCTACTTCTCCAAGCTCCTTGAAGACCTCCTGCTTGTTATTCACATGGTCTTTCTTCAGAGCTACTGATTGAGTTAGTTATCTTTCCTTCGCATTCGAAAGCCTTGCCTAATTATTTCTACCCTTGTAATACATCCTGATTTTTTAATTTGTTTTGTTTTTTTGAGGCCTGGTCTCACTATGTAGTTCAGTGTGGCCTTGAACTCACTATGTAGCCCAGCTGGCCCTACACTGGTGGTGCTCCTCCTGCCTCAGCTTCCCAAATTCTGGGAGTATAGGCATGCGCCTCTGTGCCCATACATCCTGACTTTTAAAATGACCTTCTGGAGAAAGATAATTTTTATCCATCATGTGTGGCACGTTTTATTAGTCTATTTGTCAGCAAATAATGCTACCTCATCTGTTTTATTTCTTGGATGGGAGAGCAGGAATGTATTTTATCATAACCCCTCCAGGTAACAATGTGGTAAGATCAAAGGCTTTTTTCTCTGGAAACCGCAGCTGCAAATACAACTTATGAAGAAAACATCTTATAAATTAAGAAACATCATACAAAGCAATGTCTAGTGTTTACTCCAGTAACAACCATCTTTTGAATAAAATAATTACTTTCAATTGTATCGACTTTGAACAAGGAGAAGATGCTGAGTGAGAGATGGTTCCAAATCTGAGAGATGACTTATTTCACACGGGCACTCTGTTAAGTGGCATGCATGCAAATGTGCACAACTCTTTTTCTAGTCTTTCATACAGTAATAATCATATATGAATGCCTACTACATACTAGCTGCAATTTTAAGTACTTTATGGGAATTAGCTCATATAAGACATCATTCATTCAGCCTACAAAGTACAGTAAGCATATAATATTTAGAAATAAATTTTTGATTTTATTCATTACAAGAGCATCTGCCAAATAGTATTAGGCTTCTTCAGTGACATATCCACAGCTTTAATTCAGGCATAGCATAATCGTGTCTGAAATAGCTATGAATGAACAAACAAAGGAATGCATGAATGGATAATTCCATTTTGCCATGGAACATAGAGTCTTCTTTTTTTTTTTAGGCCAGATTCTGGTTTTCTCCGTTTTCCCTGTACTTGTTTCTCCTAGGTGTCCCAGTGGTCTGTGGTGTTGCACTTGCTTTTCCCTGGGCCTTTCATGAAGGATACTTGAGATCTGTGACAGTGGCAGTGAGGACTGACCCAGCGGATGAGGTCAAGCGTGCGATGTGCAGGTGGAGAGAGAGAGTGATTGATTTGTGGTTCCGTGGCTGTAACCCCTGCTTATGGCTCTGTTTTGCTTACTGTAGGCTTCCAGTGCTGAGATGACAAAGGAATCCAAGATGCTGAGTCCCACCAGTCACAATGGTGAGTAAGAGGCTCATGGGCCTAGAAGTAGAGCCTCCTACCGCAGGCTCATTCCTCGTGATCATCTGAACTCATCATGCAGGGGAGAAGAATAAATAAGCAGGGCCAGGGATTTAGCTCAGTGGTTCGGTGGCCTGCCTTGCAAGCATAAGGACCCGAGTTCGATCCCTGGTACCAAAA